TTAAACACTTCTTTCTTTGCATATATTCCTTCCTCAGAATCCATAGATCACATGAATACTGATCTATCGATCAAATTTTTTTATCACTTCTATTGTGTAATCCCAGCGTTGAGTTTCATTCGATGAGTTGTGCTATATTATACCTTGTATTGCATTAGTTTTATTACAGTTTCAATTATGTAAGCTTCCATTCCAATATTCTACTTATGTATGTTATAATGTTCAATTGTTGTGTACTTTGACATTGTATAGAATCAGCCCAAGCCGTACACCTGCCGTCTCTAGTTTGTAGTAGCTGTATGTCGGGACGACATATGTTAGCGTCGCCGAGCTCTCAGTAGTAGTACCAGTTCCTAGTAACCAGTTACCAGTAACCAGTGTACCAGTAGATGACTCACTACCAACCGTCTGTGTGAATCATTGACTGTATTCATATTGCTGCTGACCATAGCAGGATTTCAAACACCCTCACCCTGTATGTGGGTCAGTCGAAGATAGGGAGCAGAGAGAGGCAGGTCGGCTGTTGGCGCTTTCCATACTTCCCGTTATATATTATAAGTACTACCAGCCTACGTGAGTATTTTTACCCATCCACGTTATCGAAAACCCACTTGACAGTGATAGTGCTGGTGGTGGTGACTGGGTGGAGGGAGTGGTGATAGTGCTGGTGGTGGTGACTGGGTGGAGGGAGTGGTGATAGTGCTGGTGGTGGTGACTGGGTGGAGGGAGTGGTGATAGCGCAGGTAGGGCTGAGGCTGAAGGATTATCGCAAAGGTATAGAATTTAGACCAGACATAAGATAAGAAAAGCGTCATATTGAGACACAGATGTGAATTGTCAGCTTAACTAAGCAGAATAGAAAGATACTGAGACACAGAGACATAGATATACAGAGACACAGAGATAGATACAGAGACATAGAGATACTATTACGCAGTGTGCTGCAGTAAAAACATTTTATAAAAATGCTCCATAATTCCGGGATTATTCTGAAACCGACGCGTATTGTTCCTGGTGAGTCAGAGTCGCCAGGAGACAGGAGCAGGTGAAGTGTTTGTTTGTAGGGCAGTATAAGAAGGACGGCGGCTGGGAGAAGTCGTCAGGCGAAAGTAGGTGGGGTGTTCTTTTTTGTATGTTTATTCCATATGTTGTTTTATTTGTGTTTAAGTGCTCTCATATAGCCTTTAAGGTGATAAATGTTTATTGTGTTTTTTCTATGTACAAGTAACTTGCACCAAGACAGTGCTTGATGCAGTCTTCTTATTTTTGGAGAATTTTGTGTTTCCCAGGCGGAAGGTTAGAGAGCTGACTAGGTTATCTCTGTACATATTAATTACATAAATAGTATACACAATAATTCTATACAAGTAAACTTAATATAAACTGAGAAAGTCTTCTCTTTAAACAGCATTACTGTTCATTATTACGCAACTCTGCTTGCAAAAATGAAACATGCGCTTTATATAAACAAAGTTCCCGCTTTAATGACATGATTTTTAATTGAGAAACTCTGTAAACAACATTAGCGTCCATTTTCTTACATCTCTGCTTTCAAATATGAAATAAAATACACCAAAAACCTCACCCAGTCACCTACTCACACCACCACATCTTCCTCCCTCTGCTGTGCTTCACCTACTGGACAAAACGCCTCACTGAGGCTCACTATCCTCTCACCTGGCTATTCTGACCAGGAATAATACGCGTCCAGTTGAATAATCCCGAAACTGTGGAGCACTTTTTATAAAATATTTTTAGTGTAGCACACTGCGTAATATTCCCTCCCCTAGACCACCAGTCTCACTCAGCTAGCTGGACCATGTCAGGTGCAGCTAGTCAAGGAAGAAAATGGGAAATTAAT